TTCACTATGGTTCCAATTTTGCTTAATTCTGAAAAGTAAAGGAATGGTGTCTCCTGAATATTATCAGTTGCAGACAACCTAAATGACTCTTGAATAGTGGAATGCATATTTCTATTCCTTTTGGTTTGGGATGAATTGTGGAAGGGTCCGAGCAGCCTTTCTCAACCTTTCCAATCCAGAGGAACCCTTGTAATATCTGTCCCAGGGAACCCCTGCTAAGACTTACTATATCTACAGCCCATGATAAATTAGTGTGATGACCAGTGGGAAAATTTTGTCCGTACACTTGTGGTCATTGGGATGAATTATCCCCCCTTATAGATAGCTAAAATGGTAATGGTGTCAGTGGGAACTTATCAGAGGCAGAAATTGTTCATTGCTCAAGGAACCTCTAGCGGTTCCATGGAATCTTGGTTGGGAAGCCCTTGGTTAAGGTATTTTCTAGATTTTGTATTGCTGTCTCTGTCCTTATTGGAGAGGTTCACCCCTCTATATCTGTACAGGTTGCTTATGTCCTCTAGAAAGAAATCCATCACAGAAATGGAGGGCAAGTCTTCCAATAAGGACACCTGTTCCAGGCAGGGGTGTATTTATCACAAGGCAATCAAATCATTTGCCTAGGGTGGCATTTTTTTTGGGGGGGGCAGCACTGCCCCCTGGAAGAAGGCATATATGCTGCAGGTGGGATCCGAGAGAGGCTGCGGGCTGTTTGATGGTGTATGCAGAGCTTGATTGTCGTTCCCGGGGATGTCCAGAGCTGTGAAGGTGGGTGTTAGTGGAAGGCTCTCTCCGGTGGGGTAGGGGTAGGGGGCTGGTGTTGGTCGGTGTCAGGCTCTCTGGTGGGGTAGGGGTGGGGGGCTGGTGTTGGTTGGTGTCAGGCTCTCTTCTCCACCGGGAAGGGCATCTGATTTTTGTGTTGCCTAGGGCAGCACAAAACCTAAATACACCACTGTTTCCAGGGACAATTATCTAATAAGGAATTTCCTCTAACTCAGGGGCGGGCAACTGTGGCCTTCCAGCTGTTGGTGAACTACAAGTCCCATCATGCCTTTGCCTTTGGGAGTCATGCTTGTAACGGTCAGTTTTGCAATGCCTCATGGGACTTGTAGTTCTACAACAGCTGGAGGGCCACCAGTTGCCCACCCCTGCTCTAACTTCATGTTATGTAAATTTCCACAATGTCACAAAGACAGAAACAAAGCAAAATCACCTGGAGGGGGGTTTAACACCACCCAAACCCCCCAAACGTTTTGGATGTACATACACTTTAAATTCTAAGTAGTTTTTATTGCTCTGGTGTAATATTTTCTGATGATCCAATTTTGGACAATTTCAAGTTACTCTTTGTGGTGGGCTCAAGAAATATCCAATAATGGTAATGGAACCTCAGAGGTACCGGTCATAAACATTCAACATTTTATAACCGATTTCATACTAACATCTGAAGATGAATTATCCCCAGCTATGCATCTGCTTTCTCTATAGATTCCATCTGCATAAATGGACAATCCTAATTGCATTCAATATGTGATCTCCTAGTAGTGCACCTCTATTTCCCAACTCCCAACCCCCTTTGCTTTTCCCGGTAGCAGTATAGACCTCTCAGTTGAAGATGATTTGAAAGTCATCACTGCTCAGCCTGCCCAGGTTGAAAACTAGCATTTTCAGGCCATTGGAGGATATAAACATTACGTTTATATCCTCCACTGGCCTGAAAATGCTAGTTGCCTGACCCAGAACAAACCTGGAGAGCAGGAAGGTCCGATCATTTGTGGGCGTGACATACACCAGAGCGTGGCCTGTGTGCTTTCTGCAGCCATTTCTTTCAATATGGATCATACACTCATCAAGCACTTTATTAAGAACACTAGATTAACCCCTTCAACGCCCTAAGGGTAAAACAAATCTAAATGCCTAAGCACAATTCTGCAGCATTGACATGTGTTAGTAAAATCGTACATATCATAACTACTTTGTACATCCAGGTGGATTATACCTTGATTTTTTCAGGACAAATTGGGCTTTCATTTGGTGGTAAATGGTAATGGATATCTCCTGATTATTTTTTATGAAAGGAAAACTGACCAACAATAGTAAAAAAAAAAAAAAAAAATCATTTTTTTATTTAGCTGTGTGTTTCTTGTTATACCATAACCTACCACCACAGAACAACCCAAAATAAATTCTCCAGCTCTTGACGATCGCAGTGATACCATATACTGTATGTGTATGTTATGTGTTATTTATACCCGTAGTACATCCCAGAAACAATAGTGCGCATTTTGTTTTTGTCTTTTTTTTTTTTCTTCACCTAAAACACACTGACATTGACACTAACTGACCCCAAATTTTTTTTTTTTTATCCTGACCTTTGACCCTGACCTAGACCCAAATACCCTGGCACTGAACTAGATCAAACCTTGATCTAGATATTTTTCTTTTCTTTTTTATTATTTATCTTCTTTTTTTTTTACAAACATTTTTTTTCTCTCTATGCCAGGAGGTAGAGAGACACAATGTATCTCTCTTCTCCATTCATAGAGAGAAAAAAGCAAGACGGCTGGGCTGTACAGTGACTGATCACTGTGAAAGCCAATCAGAGGCTATCACAGCGATCATGTGACCCGGAATCGGGAGTCCCGGGTCTCGTTCGTTAGAACGGGACCTAGGGCTCTCAGTGACACCGCAGTCTTTGTGCTGAGGGAGCGCGCCGAGACAAGTACGCAAATATGCGGCCCCATGACAAAAAGCTCAGTTTCCGTGAGGCCGCATATTTGTGTGACGTCGGCGTCGAGGGGTTAACCTCCCTTTAGCCCTGGTTCACAATCCGAGCAAATTGTCATGCGATTTGACAGTTCCAAATCGCATGACAAGTTGCACCCCATTTGTACCTATGGAACTGGTCAAATTGGTGCGACTCCGACTTACTGTTTTTGGGAAAAAAGGGTTCCTGCACTATTTTTTTGCGATTTCATGTGCAACTTGCATAGACATCTGTGCATGAAGTCAGGCAAACCGCGTGTGAAATTGTCCCCCGACCCGCGGCTTTGAAACTCTCAATTTCAAAGTCACATTCAGTGTGAACCAGGGCTCACTCTCAAAGTAGCCAATTGTTTGCGGTGTTCCTTCCCGGATCTTCTGATTCTGCATTTCTGCTCACTACAATTGTAAAAATCAGATAACTGAGTAACCATAACCTATTTGTTAATATCAAACAATGTATTTTTTATAGGTCGCAATGACCTTCAAAACACAAACTGCTACAAACAAATTAGCTTGCGAGCCACTGAGGTATATTATGAAGGTATAAGTACTAGATCGCCGGTTAATAAGCTCACTCTCTTCTGATGTGCGTTTTTGAGAAATTAATTTAAATGTTAACCGCGCTCTAATATCCACAAAACGAATAAATCAAAAGTGCTATGTGCTTATAAAATAAAATATAAGAATGAATTGGTGTATCATGATTGAAATTTGTGAAAACAAATAAATTAATATTAAACGTAAGCTAATTATATAAAATAATTCATATTATATTAAATACATCACAAAACGTGCAATCCTTATGACATTGTGCAATGTGCAAATTTCCCTCAGTGAAAAACTTGTAATTTGATAAATAAAATAAAAAAGTGGATGAGAAGTGATAAATGAAAAATATATAGAAAATAATAAAAACATTTTTTAAATAAATAATAATCAAAAAGTCTCTGAATAAACGACAATTTATATCCCACTGTGCAAAATGAATGTCCAGCTTTGATGGATATACTCTCCTTCTAGATGAAGATCTGATCTTTGCTGTGATGTTGAGAACCTGTGCTGGCTGCAGGACTGTGAGGGATACTCCCTTCTTTCATCCACTCCTTAGTCCTCTGCCACTTTGTATTCCTCATCTATAACGTAAGAAAAGGAATAAAAAGATATGGTGCCTTATCCCAAGGGAAATAAATAATATAAAAAAAATATAAAAAAAAAAAAATAAAAATAAAACAGCCTTTAATTGTGCTTAAACACCTCTATTGCACTCACACATTTTAAAAGTAACAAAAGCGCTTTGTATATATATATATATAAAAACTCCCGCAGCTTGTAGCTGAATCAAACGACTTGGTAGCGCTGTGTGTCAACACACCCTCAGTACTCTCGCCCTATCGTTGTTAGATTGCGCGATGACATCACTGCCCCTCCCCAACGCGTTGCGCTACAGGGATTTCGTAGCTTCGTCCGGGGGATGATGTGTCCTGACAAACTGCGCTATAGTAAAGTAAAAGTCAATACCAAAATAAAATCTATAAATCATATTCTGTAATAACAAAATTATTAGTGCGGCGCTCTGTCAATCATAATATAACGAACAACTAAAAAAGTCCATAAATTCCAGTCCTTTTATGATCGTCCTGTGAAATTATTCCATATCTCTAAAATCACCACTTGACTATTCAAGATAATTCTTCAATTGTGCCGTGCTCCCCTATCCCCTAATAGGGATTAGATGTGAATCACTGGGAAAAGTCACAAAATTGTTGGTGATATAAAAGTGGTTTTTTATACTATTTAAATGTGAGTGCAACTGATACTGAACCACCTTCCGCCCGCCCTATAGTACAATGACGGGCGCAAGGTGGTTCTCTCGTTCTGATAGGACGTCATATGACGTCCTACCATTCTCACTGCGCATGCGCGGCTCAGGGAGCGTGCAGCGTGGCGATCGCCGATCCGTTTTGTCCCTCGGACACAGCGGATCACGGAAAGAGCCGAAGATGTCGGCTCGGTCATGTGATCAGCTGTGTCCAATCACAACTGATCACATGTAAACACGGAAATGCCGGTTATCGGTATTTCTCTCCTCTCGAGCTGTCACGCTGACAGAGGAGAGGAGAGCCGGTAATCGGCATTCCGCGGTGGGGACATGTACACTGATGATCAGTGTGCCCTGATGATCAGTGTGGCCCCAGAAGTGCCACCTGTCAGTGCTCATCAGTGCCACGTGCCAGTGCCACATCAATGCCACATACCAGTGCACATCAATGCCACCTATCAGTGCCCATCTGAGCTGCCTTTCAATGTCACCCATCAATGCCACCTCTCAATGCCAATCAGTGCTGCCAATCAGTTTTGCCTATCAGTGCCATATATCAGTGTCATGTATCAGTGCTGCCTTTCAGTGCCCATCAGTGATGCCTGTCAATGCCCATCAGTGCAACCTACCTGTGATTCCTCATCAGTGTCCATCAGTGCCACCTATCAGTGCCCATCACTGCAGCCTCATTAGCGCACATCAGTGAAGGAGAAAAATCACTTATTTACAAAATTGTATAACAAAAACTAAGAAAAAACTTTTTTTTTCAAACTTTTCAGTGGTTTTTGGTTTGTTTAAGAAAAAATAAAAATCCCCGAGGTGATTAAATACCACCAAAAGAAAGCTCTATCTGTCTCAAAAAAAATGATACAAATTTCACGTGGGTACAATGTTGCATGACCGCGCAATTGTCATTCAAAGTGTGACAGCGCTGAAAGCTGGAAATTGTCTGGGCAGGAAGGGGGTATAAGTGCCCTGTAGGCGAGGGGTTAAATAAAGCACTGTTTTTTAAAAAAGATAAAGCACTGTTTTTGGTCATTTTCTTTCCACTGAGGGCACCTGCCAAGGAAAGGAAAGCAGGAGATAAGCAGTATAAAAGTAAGATCCCAGCAGGAGTAGGAGACGGGAAGCAGCCTGAGAGGGTCCCACCACTCTTCATATGGTGCAACAAACATCAGTCCCATTGAGTGGACAAAAAGCGTAATTAGCCTGTTACAGGCTACTCTGGAGATGAGCGCACATCTTATACTCACTAAGGAAGTCACCTGGAATTACTGATTTGATTTGAATCACTGGGAAAAGTCACATATATATTTTTTTCATTGAAGACCGATTATTTTTTTATATATTTTTTATATTATATATATTTTTTTGTATGATGAGCACGGGATGACATTTTGATTTCACATGATTTTCTGTTTTTCACAAGTTTATTAACTAGTTGCCGACCGCAGATAGCCGAATGACGGCTGCACTGCGGCCGGCCAGTTCTGGGTGGACGTCATATGACGTCCTCCCAGAACGCGCTCTCCTGCGCACCCCAGGGGGCGCGCACCCAGCGATCTCCGTGATCGCTGTGTCCTACGGACACAGCTGATCACGTGATGTGGTAAAAGGCCAATCACAGCGGCCTTTTACCACGTGATCAGCGGTGTCCAATGACACGCTGATCACAGGGAAATGCAAGTGCCGGTTCTCGGCTGCACTTTCCTCACGCTGTCAGATCGTGAGGAAAGTACTGCCGAGAACCGGCAGTTGTCAGAGCGAGGATCGGCACCGATCATCAGGGCACTGATGATCAGTGCCCTGATGATCGGTGCCCAGCAGTGCCACCCGCAAGTTCCGCCCACCTGTGCCCAGCAGTGCGCCAACTAGCTCCGCCCACCTGTGCCCAGCAGTGCCACCTACCTGTGCCCAGCAGTGCCACCCACCTGTGCCCACCCGTGCCACCCACCTGTGCCCACCCACCAGTGCTGCCCACCAGTGCCACCCACCAGTGCAGCCCAGCAGTGCTGCCAGTCAGTGCCACCAGTCAGTGCCCAGGGGTTGTGCCAGTCAGTGCCGCCAGTCAGTGCCCAGCAGTGATGCCAGTCAGTGCCGTCTATCAGTACCCATCATCAGTGTCACCTATCAGTGCCGCCTATCAGTGCTGCATATTAGTGCCGCCTATCCGTGACACCTCATTAGTGCTGTTTATCAGTGCCGCCTATCCGTGCCACCTCATTAGTACTGCCTATCAGTGCCGCCTATCAGTGCCCATCAGTGCCGCCTATCAGTGCCCATCAGTGCTGCCTCATCAACGCACATCAGTGAAGGAGAAAAAATACCTGTTTGAAAAATTTTATAATAGAAACAAAGAAACTTTTTTTCTTTTTTTCAAATTTTTTGCACTTTTTTTATTTATAGCGCAAAAAGTAAAGCGCCCAGTGGCAATTAAATACCACCAAAAGAAAGCTCTATTTGTGAGAAAAAAATGATCAAAATTTCATATGGGTACAATGTTGCATGACCGCGCAATTGTCAAAGTGCGGCAGGGCTGAAAGCTGAAAATTGGCCTGGTAAATAAGGGGGTATAAGTGCCCGGTAGGCAAGTGGTTAATATTGATTTTTTTTATATATTTATTGGAAATTTGTATTGATTTAATATTCAAAAATGGAGCGCAACATATTGTTTTTATGTTTTTGAATTTTTTTTTTTTGTTGCTGGGCAGAATAAAAATGCAAAACGTGGCAAAAAAGCACTACCGTACATTTCAGCTGCTTCTCCATTGAACTCTATTGTAGCAAAAACGCTGATTTTTGCATTTAAAAAAGTCACTGACCCTTCCAAAAACACATCAGCTCAAAATAGCATCAATGTGAACGTGTTCCATAGGAAACCGTGTTAAATGGACTGTAGTGTGTTTCTGCAAAAAGCACTAAAGAAACGCATTGGTGTGAACGCAGCCTAACACCTGCAGGTCTTGTCCCTCCCCCTGCCTGTGACTGGACAGGGAAGAGTGGAAAGCTCTCTGTCACTGTGCTACCTCCTGATTGGACGCCAATGCTGCTTTTCTCTCTCACAGTCTGAGCTCTGCTGTATAGGGACTGGAAGAAGGTGATACCATGTCACATTCGAATACTTACACTGCATGCATTAAAAAGATTTACTGAAGTGTTTAAGAATACAAACTGCATTTATTGTTTTCTTTTATTATTTATATATTCATTGAGTTCAGCTTAAAAAAATGCTTTTTGGTCACAATTAATCTTTTTGTAGTTAATCTTTTTTTTATCTCAGCATCTCTTTGGTTATACAGGTCGAGGAAAAGGCCTTTTTGAACATTCAAACGTGTATAACTAAACTCAGGTTTTCTGCTGTTCTGTTTTGTGGCCAATATTAGGAAGAAATGCAACTAATGCAGGCCATACATGGTTCAAACTCCGAACAATTTTTTCGTCCGAAAATTGGAAACATCGTTCGCTCGGTAATCCGATGGCGCCATCATTGATTTAAAAAATCGGCCGACCAAGTCATATAGTTCACCCCATATAACATGCAAAACTTCTATTTCTTCCAGGTCACGGCTCATGCGCATATTCTTTTCGGAAAAACTATCGTACAATGTGACCATCATTGAGTCGAAAATCGAACTTTTTTCACAAATTTTCCAACATGCCCGATCACCGAAAAGGGGAGGAACCACGAAAATCGGCCGGTGCCATTGACCCACTAACAGAGCGAAAATCAGCCGATTATTCTTGTCCGGTTGATTTTCGACCCGTGTACAGTCGGCCTAAGTTAAAACAAGCACTAAGACATACCACACAATGGAGAATCTGCATAAAGAATCAACGATCGTTTTCTACATTGATAAGGGAAAGATTTTGTTACCGCGAGGCAAGTCGCTGCAATGCTGCTCAGGTTCAGGGGAAAGGTCATTGCAGCAACTGTTATGAACCGATTGCCTGCCTTTAGCTGGCCATACACATATAGATTTTCAAGTTTTGGGGGCCTTACACTATATAGAGTGATGAGTTATAGGGATTATTTGTATATACACATCCCTTCTATATTGTATTTTGATTTTGGTATATATATATACACACACACACACACACAGTATAGCGCCTACCTATTCTATCTTTTTTTTTTTTACATATAGATTTTCGTTCAAGAATTTTCGCTTCAAGAATATTCGTTTGATTTTCTAATCGTTAGTGAGGTTAAATCGATGTTAATTTTCGAAAGCAGTGACGGGAAATTCGAAGGAGCGGGAAGGAAAAATTTTTCTTGATAAAATGAATTTTCAGTCAGTGTATGTGACTATTCAGAAATTACATTCATTTTTAAAGTCAAATGTTAAAAGCAAAAGACAATTTTCGAATGACATTCATCCATTCATTGAATGTTCGAAGAATTTTCACGTGACTTTTCTTATGAATATTCTCGTTCAAAAATCTACACGTGTATGGCCATCCTTTCCCAAGATCTACTAGTCTGTGGGCATCCATAAGGCCTGTTCATTACAGTATTAAATCTTAATCTAATCAAATCCGGTGGATCGTGTTTTTGGGCACCCTACCAAAGTATTGTCCACATCTTAAAGACTAAAAAAAAAAAAAAAATCAGCACAAGGGACATTACTTGCAATCAGTGCGCTATGTCCCTTGTGTTGCTGGCTGCAGAATTAATAGAAATCTTTCTCCTCCAATCTCCCCCCCATCCATACCACTGAATCTTCTGGTGCGGCTGGGATTAAAAGAGCCACCCAGGGGCGGACTGACAACTCATGGGGCCCCCGGGCAATAGGGGATCATGGGGCCCCTGTGTCCTTGCCCACACTCAAAGCACACCCAAAAAAGCCTATAAAAAAGGTACCAGGGGCATTTCATGGGGCCCCCTACTGACCCCGGGCCCTCGGGCAGTGCCCAAGTGCTCAAATGGTCAGTCCACCCCTGGAGCCACCAGACGTGAAAGGCACCAATCAAGAGCGCCGATTATGCCCACCTTTTGTGCCCACCTTTTCTATTAGTAGAAACTGTATGATAGCTTTTATGTATGGAGGATGGGTAGATGAATGGTCTGCCTCCTCCATTCATAGGTCATGTCTCATTCATAGAACTTATATTTTGGCTTCAAATATAAAAAAAATCTGAAGAATATATTTAAAAAAAAATATGTTTTTAAAATTATTCTTCAGATTTTTTTTTAACATATAAAAAATTTATTTTAACATACAGTATATTTTTACATATATTTGTAAATGCATTCCAAAAATGTATATTTGTATTTTTAAAGACATACAGTATGTTTCAAAATGTATTTTTTAAAAATATTTTTCATATATTTTGTAATAAAAACATATAGTATATTTAAAAATATATTTCAATAAATATATATAATTATTATTATACAGGATTTATATGGCGCCAACAGTTTGCTCAGCACTTTACAATATAACAGGAGACAATACAGCAACAATACAGTTCAATACAAGAGGGATAGGAGGGCCCTGATCCTTGGAGCTGACTATATATATATATATATATATACGGTATATACACACACACATACACATATATATATATATACACAGGGGCAGACTGACAACTCATGGGGCCCCCGGGCAATATGGGATCATGGGGCCCCTGTGTCCTTGCCCAAGCCCGAGTTTCCAAATGGTCAGTCCGCCCGTGTGTGTATATATATAGATTGTAAGCTCCAAGGATCAGTGCCCACCTTTCCCTCTTGTATTGAACTGTATTGTTGCTGTATTGTCTCCTGTTATATTGTAAAGCGCTGAGCAAACTGTTGGCGCTCTATAAATCCTGTATAATAATTATATATATATTTATTGAAATATATTTTTAAATATATTGAATATGGCCAAAATTGTAGTATTTCAAATACATGTCAATATATTTGGGATGAATATTTTTTAAATATATTTCAAATATATTTTTCTTCCATGTAGGAGGAGCCTGCAACACAAGGGACTTGTTGCATTGTTTTCAAGTAAGTCCCTTGTGCTGTTTTTTTTTTTTTTCTAACCTTAGGTTTTTAATAACGTAGGGTAAAAAAAAAAAGTAAAAACATGAAAAAACCCTAATTTGTCTGTTTTCTTAGCTCAGGACTCGCACCCACCCTGTCCAGACACAGAACGCAGCATGCAGGGGCTCAGTGAAGGTGGTGGTGAAGGTGTGGATGTGCTGAATTGGGTCACACAACTCAAAAAAGGAGATCTGCCCGGCCTCATAATCCAGGTGTATTCTTAATTTACGCCAGGAGATTCTGTGAGGTAAGTGGGTAACTTTACCATTATACATCGCTGTTAGCTTGTTGTCACACCAGCGCAAACACCAGGATGTGACGTTGTTCCCAAATAGTGATTGCCCACCCTTTCTGGTTGTACTGGGGTAGCACAGTCCAAGTCTCCACCGTGCGGTGTCACTGGTTTCCACTTCCCAGTAGTGCTGCCCTGACGAAAATCTCCTGGTGCTCAGAACTTGGTAATATTCAAATCTCGCTGCTGTCTCTGCACGGCCCTGGTTCTCCTCTGACCAGGATGCGGTTTTCAAGTCACCAGAGATAACGACTCGGTTTCCAGCTGTATTTATATCCAGTACGATGCCTGAATCCCTCAGGGCACGGATCTTTTCTTTTACACCAGATATAATGTCAGATAAACCCAAAGTTAATGTCTCCAAGATCTGACTCTCATCCAGATCTCCATCATGGACCTTCTTCTCTTCTCTCCTGCCTCTATATCCTTTGTTGTGTCATAGATGTCTTCTACGTCGGGTTCCTGTAAGACGGCCATTGGGTCAGGTTTGGTACACAACTTTTCAATGTGATTCATATTCCTAGACAATGCCTCCTTCTGTATTTCCAGCTGTCGAATGAGATCATAGAATGACCTGGAGATCTGCTCTTCCTTGCGGGAAATTGCAGTCAGAACCTTCTTCTCAAGATCTTCCAGATGTCTCCTGATTTCTTGAAATAGGTCAGTGGCTCTCTCTGTTACCGCAGATGCTTTTTCTTGTACCCCTTTCCTGCATTCCTGCAGCTTCTGGACTTTTTCCTCAATCTCTTCTCTCCTTGTGCTCAGTTTCTCTAGGAATTTTTGAAGTTTATATTTTTCTAAGCCCTTATCCGGTGATGCCGCCTGTTGTCCTCTTTGCTCTCCAACAAGCGTGCAGGACTCACAGATACAAGAAGAGTCCTCAGTACAGGAACACTCCAGGATCTTCTCATGGTTGGAGCGTTTTCTATCTCTCGTAG